GTCCAACTTGTCAATAAAAAAAACAACTGAAAACTCTAAAGGAAGTGAATAATAGAAGAGGGCCGAGGACTCATCCTTGTGGCACAACAAATTAAACTACACTAAAAAAAAAGAGGAAATCTTTAGCAGCAAGGATTTAGTTTAAAAGGTGTAGTTTTGACACACAGACATCGAATAAGACAATTCAAGAGTGAAATCCATCAGAGAAGACATTCTATAGTATATAAAAATATCACAACCGAAAGAAGAAACATTGAATAATCTTGTTTCTGTTAAGTTTTCTTTTGAGTATTCAGTTTTACTTTGCTCCATGTTTTCTAGTTTTACTGGATTAATTCCTATTTTGTTGTGTTTTCTGACTATATTTGAGTTCCTAGGTTTTTCTCTGTCGCCCTCTTGTGTTGGTCCCCTTTTCCCTAGCTCCTTCTAGAAGCCTCTGTTCACACCTGCTCCCAATCGGCTCGTTAGTCCTGCCTTTGTTCAGTCAGCAATAAATACTCTCCCTGTGCAGTTCCTCAGTGTTGGTTCCTTATCTTTCTCTGGCTCCTCATGTTTTTTTTCTCTGATGTCTCCAAACTTCCTGTAAACTTTTCTGTATTTTGTATGGTGTTTTTTTGGATTCCTGCCTCAGTTGCCTGTGAGTACTTTAATTAAATCTACAGAAACTCACCTCTGCATTTGTGTCCTCAAAAAAACACAACCAAACCCTGACAATATTGTTTTCTTTCTACTTTAATCTTTCCATTTTAATATGTTAAAAACTAGATCAATACAAATAACTATTCAGTTTTGTCATTTTATCCATTTGAACCAAGTGATTTGGACCAAAAAGTGTAAATGTGGGACCTTCTTACCGACAGGTTGTTGATCCGCATGCGGCTTATGGTTCGTCGGTAGTAGCTGAAGTCATTTTGGATGGCTGGGTTGGTCATCTAAAACAGGACAATGATGAGAAAATATGAAGCAAAGGAACTTTGATTAGGGAGAATGCGGTCAGGAGGGGAAGAGAGGACTAGCATGAGCGGACCTTTAGTTCATCGAAGCGCAGCGTGAAGTGCAGGATGTGGGCGAACTGACGAGCAAGCGCCTGCTTCTGCTCCAGATGTTGGGTCGGAGTCGAGTCAGCGGTGGTGAGAACATCCAGCAGGCAATGCAGGCTGGATTCTGGGGAAACAAGAAGACAATCATGGTGGGATTGTGCAAAAGTTTTAAATCTGTGGCAATTTCCTAATGTTTCCTGTCTTGACTTTTTTACTAGAACTGCAACTGACTGAAAAAAAAATATTAAAAATCCAAATAAAAACCTTCAGTGAGCCTGGAGGCCTTTTAATCAAACCACCTTAAAATATTACAGGAAAACTGACTGCTTGGAAGGAAACATGATAAACGGTGGACCGGTTTAAAATCCACCATATGACCCCCATGTTCCTATTAGGAACCTGTCCCCACAAACACGTCCTTTAGGCTATACTGCAGGCCTGAGGAAGGAAAAAAACTCTGGATTCTGCCTTTTTTTTTTTGCAAACCGAATTTTAAACACTGTATTTTTTTTAGACATTGAATTGAATTCCTTACACTGAATCTTTATCTGCTAAAACAGTTGGGTGTAGCTTTGTTCCCGCTGAATGAAGCTAATTTTTCTTGTTAAACATGATCACAAAACCTCAGGTAGCTATAATCAGACTGGGTGAAAGAACTGAGCTCATCAATTGCAGGTGAATTTTTTGCAGCAAAAATTTTTTGCAGCTGAATTTTCACCAAATAAAAATCCAGTGCAAGGAATTCAATGTGTTAAAAAATTCAGTGTTTAAAATTCGGTGTACAAAAAAAGGCAGAATCTAATAAGATTTTTTTTTTTTTTCAATAAATGTCTGTTTTTTAGAAATCCAAAATAAGAGCACTTTAATGCACATGCAAGTCTTTGTTAGTACCTGCAATAAGTGGACGTGTTGCCCATCTTATGAATATTGCTGCCCAAACGATAAGGTGTGCAAACCTTTTTGATTCTGCCCGTTAAAATTAGAAGTTTTAAAAGCAGCTATCAAAGAAAGATGATGTTCAAAGCCATGAAGATTTACTGTTATAATGATCATTTAAAGGTACCAATACTATTTATAGTGCACCTGAAACCAGTAGCCTTAAAGTGATATGATTAAAACAAAACAAAAATAAAATGAGGAAAATATAACACTAAACCCCATGTCTCTTTGCACACTTTAATGCAATTCTTATTTTTTTGTATGTATAAATATTAGCTACCAAAAATCATGCACATGCAGTAATAAAATACTTTCCATTTATAAAAGCAAATGCACTCCTACATATTCTGCTTTATAGCTACATATGAGCAGTTATAGCTCTGATTCCATTTGGACATAAAATAGTGATTTTATTTGTATCCTTTGAAGCACAGTTTCAGGGAATTTTATAAATGGAAGTGATATACGGGCATGGCTGTGATGGTTCCTCCCTGGGCTGCTTACATACCCAGCCTGTCCATCAGCGCCTTCTACAGAACCTCTAGGAGCACAAAGGTAGTGAGATCTTGAACTTCAACCCTTAATCATGCACTGTATGATTATTATTTTTATTTATTTTTTTGCTCTTTCCGGGCTGTTTTTCAGTCTTTCAAGAAATGTTTCAATCGGGCTGAGTTTCAGCCTCATGGTGCGTCCAGCGTTGTGTACTATACAGGGAGTAACGAGGGGCGATAAGCCTCTCGCGACCACATCCGAATCAGGAATCGTGAGGTCGGGAGAAAATCAAACATATTTGAAATTCAGTCGGCCCTTGTGAGGTGTTCCTGGACAAATCCTGCTGTTGAAGAGGAGCTACGATCCGATTTACCAAAACTTTGCACACTGCGCATGTGAAAACAAGGGAATTCTTCTTCCAGATTGACGAGTCGACCAGCGCCATCTTTTGGCGCTGAGTCCAACAGGTGTTTTTGGATGTGCAGTGTGTGCAGGTAGATGGCATCAGAGCGTCGGGAATCTCAGTGAGAACATGCATCGTGAGCTGTGAACTTTTGAACCCTGCGGTTTCATCGTACAGCTTGAGCTGTAGCTGCGTGCTACGAGCTTTACGCAGCTAATTCTGGTTTTCTCCACCTTGTCCACCTGATCGTCATATTCCAGTCTTTTTTAAATCATTTATTGATTCTTCAGAATTTTGCCTTTGAGAATATATATTTTTTATGCTACTCGGCATTAAATCATAAAAGCTCAAATTCAGGTCAGAGGTTTGCATGGATTTCTGCACACTTTCATGCAAAGTTGTTTTATATACATGCTATGTTCTGTCACAGGTTTCTTTTGCCTAAAGGCAATTTATACAATTGGCCCGTGGATCAGGTCTGTGGTGTTAAAGGAATAGTACACCCAAAACATGATTAGCCTTCATTTTCTACTCACCCCCATGCTGAACAACACTCTGGAGTACTTTTTTGATATCTCAAATGCATCTGGAGATCTGGGAGGCTTCTTGCTGTCTGCTGACATTCAAATAATGGAGGTCGATGGTGCCCGAGGCAGAAAGGTCCATAAAAGTCCACAAAAAACGTGTCAATATTCCTCCATACTGCTCGTCCAATGTATTCCAAGTGTCCTGAGTGGGTAGCGTCCATAATTTACTTGAAACGAAGTCATTTAGAATGTTTTTAGAGCATAAACAGTAGTGTATAGGATTTCCTAAAAGCGCGTTCACAACGCTACGGAAACTGCGGCAGACCAAACCAGATGAAAGTGCGCATTCAGCGTCTGCTCTTGATAATGCAAGCGTAGAAGAAGAAATGTACTGTTTACCTGTGCAAAGAAAGAAACAAAGAAAGAAAAATGTCTGAGGACTTCAGTGTTGAGGAAGAGCATGAGTTCTTTGCCGAGCTGAATGCGCACTTTCATCTGGTTTGGTCTGCCGCGGTTTCCGTAGGCTCGTGAACATGCTTTTAGGAAATCCTATACACTACTGTTTATGCTCTAAAAACATTCTAAATGACTTTGTTTCGAGTAAATTATGGACTCTACCCACTCAGGACACTTGGAATACATTGGACGAGCAGTATGGAGGAATATTGAGACGTTTTTTGTGGACTTTTATGGACCTTTCTGCCTCGGGCGCCATAGACCTCCATTATTTGAATGTCAGCAGACAGCAAGAAGCCTCCCAGATCTCCAGATGCATTTGAGATATCAAAAAAGTACTCCAGATTGTTGTTCAGCATGGGGGTGAGTAGAAAATGAAGGCTAATCATGTTTTGGGTGTACTATTCCTTTAAACACGATTCAGGTGGTTAGAAGCCTGTTACCCAGTTTCTGTGAGAACTCATAGAAGGTTTTGAGTTTGGCGACCAGGGGAACCACAGCAGCCCAGGCCTTCTCCTGAACACCCTCAACATTTGGATTCTGGATGGCCTGAAAACAAACATAAAGACAGTTTATCATCAGAGAATCAGCTGCAGCGCCTTCCAAAATAAAAGCCTCTGTACTACGCAAAGATGCCATGAATCCCGACCAGAGAAATTCTTTCAAATTGTTTATTAGTATAAAAAAGTCAACTCTCCCATAGGAACTGAATTTAAATCTGTGCAGCGGAGAGGATTTCTCCATCTCCTATCAGCAACTCTTTTCTTTGATTTTTTCCATCAGTCTTGAAACAAACCCTAAAGCTGGTTCTTCAGGTTCTAAGATCTAAATGTTTGTCTTGATTGATTCCAGCTGCATCACCTGTCGTATTTCGTCTCCGGCTCCTTTGTACGTCTGCAGGTCTTCCAGGATGACCTTGGCCTCCGTCAGCACCTGGTTCACCTTCTCCCATACCTCGGTCTCCGACTGCGACGGCTGAGCATCTGAAAAACAAATGTTGGGACGTTTACTACAAACATCTGGGCCGACAGCCAACATGGATTTAATGTGAAATTCTGAACCCTACTTTCAAAGTCCAGGAAGAAGTTTCCAGCGTTGTTGTCGATGTCTCGTGTTAACACCTTGATTAGGTTCCCCATGCTGCCGACAGGAGAAAAGGTTTTTAACTTGTTGCTGGAACAGCAGCTTCACAGACTGATGGTCTAAGAACTCATCAGGTCAGGATTCAGGACAAACTGAGAAGCTTTGGGGCAGAGAAAAGGCTCAACATGAATATTTAAAGAATGAACCAATGAGACGGCCTGGGGCTCCATCTGCCCAACATCTACAGCTCCTCAGTCTGATCCCCGATCATCGGCAATGAACAGAGCGCGTTGCTTCAACGTTATGGCTCTATCATGATGAAGCCATGACGTCACACACCGTCACGCTGGCGTGATGTCAGTGTTAAAGAGATCCAGGAGTTTCTGCAGAACCAAAGCAAGCCTGAAACATGACGCTGATGAGTTCACTCAGTATTTGAACTGTTTTCGCATAATTACCCAACCTTAATCATTTTATTCTCTTTGATGATCCATCCGTGTCTTTCACTCTGAATTGTCTGCCTTCGCCTTAGGATCACTAAGGAGTAGGAGTGAGTATTGGCATGGGTGTTACGATACGATACTTGGGTCATAATACGACATAATCACGATATTGCAATATCCCTATATATTGTGTTATTTTTCCCATCTATCAAAATTAAATGTAGAGATTAAAAAAAGTAAGTGCTGTATATGTTCATCAGAAGATATTGCTGATTCAGTTAGTTTGGTATCCATGTTGTTTTGGGTTGGAGTCCAAGTCTTCCACTGTGACCGCCTCAACTACAGATGCGGCACCACGCCACACAGCAGAGCGGCGGTGCAGACGAAGCCCATTTTCCCTCTTTGTTTTAGGTAAAAATGTTTAGTTTTAAGTTAATATTAGGAATTGTGAGATCGAGCAGACGAAAATCCAGACATATCGAGGAGTGGCGGCCTAGTGGTTTGGGCATTGGGTTTGGAACCCTAAGGTTCTGAGTTCGATTCCCCACTCCTACAGACTGCCACTCTGGGTCTCTGAGCAAAAAACCCTTAACCCACACTGCTCCCTGGGCGCCGCGCAATGGCAGCCCACTGCTTCCTAAGGGGATAGGTTAAATGTAGAGTGAATTTCATTGCTCTGTACTTGTGACAGTGTAGTTACAATAAAAGCTAAAAAAAAAAAAATTATCCAAATGACCCAGTTTTTTTAAAAAACCCTTTGCAGTACAGTATTTTATTTTTTAACTCTTCACTATTATATTATTCTTATAGAGTTTTCTAAGGTCCACATTTCTGTGAGCATTTTTCTATAATCTTTGCTGCTGTAAGAATTTCCCCATTGTGGGGCAATAAAGGGATTTTCTATTCTATTCTAAATCTATTTTTTGCCACACCCTGCTAAGGAGTGAGTCAGCCAGTTTGTTTTGGTATTTGAACTGAGCCTGGCCAGTCAGACCGACTTATACAGGCCAAGTCAGTCTGGTGAGGTCTAAAGCAGACTGGACTAGTGGGGGAAGCAGACCCATGCAACAACAGCACTTTTCTGTGACCATTACAGTAAATGCAGCTGCAATGGAGTGATGCTGAAATTATGAACTTAATTATGTCTCTATGTTTATATGGTTAAAATTTCATCAGCTATCATTTTTGCATCACATCCAATGTTATTGGTTTTAAACCGTCAGTCCTTCCTTTGGACTCTAGATGATCCATTTTAGGCTAAACTCATGTGCACACGGCGTGAATTAGTCTGGCGGGAAAGGCTCATTTACCGTGTTGTTAAGGGATCCAGCATGGAGAACAGGCGAAGCAGATCTGCAGGCTAATTGGGCCAAACCAACTGAGATCCCCAACATTAGAGTTGGGTTACAGCAAAGAGACGTAACCAGTCAATCTGGGAGAGTTTTAGGACAGTGTCCAGACCAGGCGTCTCACCCATCGCCTCCTCCAGTCCTCGTGTGCTGCTGGTTTGGACACACGCCTGCTTCTTCACACCTGGATCAAAAGGCTACCTGTTTGCAAAGAGCTGTTCATCAAGCATTCATTTATTTCAGCTGTGTTGCAGGACTGATGTTGCAGATCCTTGGTCTAGAGTCTTCATGGAAACCAGTTACAATATACGCTGATAATGGTTCAGGAATGGACCACAGATCCAGGACATGGAGGCCATGCAGCCGACCCACTGCGCTCTGATATTAGCATTAGCATGCTGACTTTACGTCAAGAAGAGATGAAGCAGTTAATATTTAGGGCATCTTCCTAGAGAGGATTCTATATCACTGAGAGAAATTTTTTTTTGTACATATAAACAAGATAAGGGCATCATGGTGGCAACCACAGTCCAACAATATGACTGTTAGGTTGACTGGTCGTCATAAACTGGCCTTGGTTACATGGCTCTGCTCACATAAGCGTTCTGAGCAGCTGTCTCACCGTGTGGTGTGGAGGCTGCAGCGCCTCAGACTGGAAGAAGGGGAGAACAGCAGAGAGGATCATGGGGGCTCCTCTTCCCTCCATTAAAGACATTTCATCCCAGCGCTGTGTGTCCCGAGCCTGTGACATCATCAATGACCCCCCCATCCCCCCACCATGGACTGTTCTCCCTGCTGACCTCTGGGAAGAGGCTTCACAGCATACAATGCAGGACCAGCAGGTCACAGGCATCACACTGACAACACCAAGCCAAAAATGCTTTGTATTTGCACCTTATATGTTTGTCTTAAAGTGTTTTTGCACCGTTGATCACTGCTGCACTTTATGTTCATTTTGCTGCTAAGCTGCTGCTAATTCACTGTCTAAAAGCTGTACAAAACGACATTTATTTTTGTACACACTGTGTGCACTAAATGACATTAAAAGCTGTGTAAGTCTGTCTAGGTCTAAGTCATAACCATGATGGACAACAGTAGAAGAGCAATGGATGATGAAAAGACTGATGGATTTCAATGTTAGAAGTTAAAAAAATCACTAAGTACTAATATTAGCTTTGCTAATATTAGCCTTTTGTATCTCTGCTTCTTTTTCTATCTCTGCTTCTGTCTCCTTGAACCCCAGTCGGCCTCAGCAGATGGCCGCTCACACTGAGCCTGGTTCTGCTGGAGGTTTCTTCCTGTTTAAAGGGAGTTTTTCCTCTCCACTGTCGCTACAAGCATGCTTAGTGTAAGGGATTGCTGAAGAGTCGATTAGTCGATGCAATCAACTGGTTTTCCTTAGATAGAAAACTTTGAATCAATCAGACTGGATGATCTGGTTACCAGTAAAGTGCCTTCAGATGACATGTGTTGTGAATTGGCGCTATATAAATAAAATGAACTGAAATTAGCATTACCAAAGCTATTATATTTTTAGCTATAGTTATCGCTGCATGTGTCTGAGGGATTGCTGAAGAGTCACCACGAGCTCATCAATGACTGGATGCCATCTACTGGTTTCCTTGGTAACAACCTTTAACCAATCTGACTGTATTGTGTCTGTAAAGTGCCTTGAGATCATATGATGTGAATCGACGCTCTATAAATAATATAATTTAATTTAATATAGTTTGGTAGAGTTTAAACTCTTTGGTTTAAAGCTCTTACCACTGATAGTGTTAATATAACCCTTATTAAGCTTTCTGCCTTTAATGTTCACAGTAAGATGCTGCATATCTGTAGGGTAGGCTGATCTCTTCCACCATCATCTGTCGGGTAACAGCATCAGAGCAAACGACTGAAAGAAGCTCAACTAAATGATAAAGAAGGCTTCCTCTAGATTATAACATTTCTATTTATATCTCTGGTATTTTTTTCTTTAAGTTGCACACTACAATAGAACCTAAATTAGAAAAACTAATTATTAAATCATTAATGACAACCATTTTATAGAAAATTCAAATTGTCCTATGGAAGTAAATCTGTGTCGCTGGGATTTGAATTAAAAAATTCCACTGAAATTTAAATGTTGTATGTTTTTACTTACTGTTTCAGTGTTAAAATATATTCAGAACACATTTTTGACCTTTAAAATAAATTCATTTTCATTATTTCTACACAGTTGAAATTTCAATTATTTTCTCTTCAAGCTAAAAATTCACATTACTATTTCAAAGCGATTTCATTTTCAATACTTATTTTTCAGTTTAATATTTCAGTGTTAAAAAAATCTGCATATAAAAAAATTCAAACTCAATATTTTCATCCTCCTGAGATTCAACTGGCTCTATTTCACCGTCTTAAATTCGCCGTCTAAATTCAGTGCAAAAAGGGAAGGGTTACTTCAGGTCACAGACATTAGCAATGGATTGTGGCGTCCAACACCCAGCCAATCCCATTATGGTTTCTTAGTCACGTGACGTGACGCTTGTGGAGCTCATACTGAAGGAAAACCAGCATGACGGAGCCGGTCATGCAAGCTAACGCCAACTCAACTACAGAAAAATGAAAGTAATAAACTCACCGTCGAGTTAGCGTTAGCTTGCATGACCGGCTAACCAGGTCTTAAGAGTCTAAGATCTAGCCCATTTTCTGGATCTTTTTGAGTTGGATATGCTAAACGAGAGCAGATTCTGTTGGATTATTAATATTATTTTGCCAAAATTTTACTCAAAAATAATAATCTGCCAAACAATAAGACAACCTTATTTAGTATAACCTCTTATACTTATGATCTATAATATACTTAATCAAAATACATATTTAGCTTAACATTTGTCTCACTAGCAATACATATTAGTTAATTCAATTGAATTCAGTTTATTTCTATAGCACCAATTCACATCATGTCATCTCAAGACACTTTACAATTCAACTAGATCATCCAATCAGATTGATTCAAAGTTTTCTTTGAAAACAGCTCACCGCATCGACTCACTGATTTAAACAGGCTAATTAAATGCTAACCTAACAATGCTTATATTAGCAGGCTAAAAATTACATCAATGCTTTTCTTATCTTAACATTGACATTAGTTACATTAGTGCTAGTTATTGGTTAATGAGGCACCCTGAAACGTTTTGACTCATTGCCAAACTATTGATCCTGCATTGATTCTGTCTTAGAATACTGACACCTGCTGGACATTTAAAGACACTACAGGTAG